ATATATGTATATGTATATATATATATGTACATACATATGTATATATATGCACATATATATACATAAATGTGTACATATATATGTGTACATATATATGCATATATATATATATGTATATGTATATAATATACGTACGCATATACTCACCACTTGAAATGGTACATGATGCGGTGAACTCCAGACAGAGCAGAATGGGGACGCTGAGAAATACATCTCTGCCCTCTCCCCTCGCAGTTGATGAGCTGACCGAATAGCAGTATTCCATTCTCTTCATCATATTTCGCATGCTGTTTCTTATAGCAAATATTTAAGTTTTTGTTTGTATAACTGCTTGGCCTTATTATAACAAACCACAAGTCAGGTAGGCAATGGTTTGTATCACCCAAGCTTTGTCGGGCAAAATGAAGCAGTGCCTTCTCAACATTACTGCAGTTTGTATTTCGCCGTGGTTCGACACTGCCTAGTTTGTTGCCAGATCAACGTCACAACGAGCTGCTTGGGATCGGAACTCTGTGGGGATCTTTTCAATCTATCATTACAACCCTAGTCTGGAAAACGCCAGGCATGCTGGTGCGATCACGCGTTTTTGCACTAGACTTGAAGCAGTCAGGTCGTTAACTGTATGAATGGTTGTTGCTTTTTGGTGTTACAATGGGTATTCATTAACACAAATTATTGTACATTTTGCATAAACGGAAATGAACGATTTCTGTTTAACGGCCATTTTTTGAAAATTCCTAGTTGTTTAATGAGCAATTTTTGCGCCAAAATTTCCACGTACTCCAGTGTGAGTATGTTGAATATCTTGGAATGAATTTGAAATTTTTAAGTTGTACTTGGACGGGGAACATCCCTTTAAAATTTTTGCCTTCCAACTTTTCTGGCTTACGAGTTAGCAATTTTTCCAATAAAATTTCCACGTGCTCGTATGTGAGAACCACGTGCACCTGGGAGCTGAATTTGAAGTCTTTAAGTCGTACGTGAACAGAGGAGATTCCCTTAAATTTTCAGCTTCCCATCTTATCTGATTTCCGAGGTTTCGGCCAAAACATTTGCACAGTTTTTTGAAGCGCCCGTACGTAGTACTCAAGCGCGCGTGAATGATAATATTAAAACGGTAGAGTCAGAAATGGAGTGTGAATATAGTCTCGAAATTTCAGCTATCTTTTGTGGTTTTCGAGTTGAACGTAGGTGACAGATGCGAGGGTCTCTTGCCCATA